TTTTTGATCCGTCAACCGACAGTATTTTGTAATATTTGCCATCCAGTAGATAATTTTGATTTTTATCGATCGCATTTGTAGACTCTGCTGGTTGTGACCCCGCAGGATTGTTAATTTGGTATTGATCACCCTCGTGACATCTTGTGATTTTTTTTGGTTTATTTAAAATGTTTGAAAGCGTACGAAAAGCTTTAGTTACTGACAATTTTATACCCAACTTGTCTGCGATATTTTCTACTATTTCAATACTCTATTCAGAATAAGAGCGGTCCGGGTTGCACATTTTATGTACCATGATCCTATACACTTGCAGTAAAATATTTAAAAAAACAATTTGATTTGTACAATTATAATAGAGTAATTAAAATAGTATATTATTACACATTAAGTTTACACTATTATTTAATTTTTTATATATTTCAGACTGCAGAGGACGCTTTGCCGTCTACGGCAGAAATGGAATTAGAGCGGTAAGTTTTTTTAGACATTTTGTCAGCGGTTTCATAATTTATAATAAATTCATTATTGACAAACAATGTTCAAAACCTATGAAAGATTTTTCATTGAATTTCATTTGGTGGGTTACTGGATATAAATATAGTTGGGCAACTAAATTTGATATATGTATAGTATATATTTCCACCGAAAATAAATGTTTTTTATATCTATATTTAAAACTAACAATAGTTAATCTAAGTAATTTAAGTATATTTAGATTTGATTACATAAATAATATGATGTGCATCTGTTAGATTTAAATCTCCTATTATTTTTGGAACGAAGTTCCTTATCGCGGGTTGGCGAGGGGACCTAGCCAAGAAAAAATGTAACGCATTATAAAAACTATATGTGGTGCGGTCGAGCGTGATCGGTTCCCAGGAGTGAGTGATACCGGGTTCATCAATTGGGCTCCCTCTCAACACTTTTTGCATTTATTTACAACTTTTATGGTAATTTATATCGCAAGAAGTCTAAAAACTTATAAAATATATATATTTTATACAACAGAATACATTTTTACCCCTAAAAGTACTAGGTCACCTACATTGCATTCGGTTTTCGTCATTTATTATACTTCTCGTACTGATGATTAAATACAATTTTTTTTTATATAATTGCAATATTTTAGAATTCAACCTGTAAAGTTGTAGGACTAAATAATACTGAAATATAATGTAAATTAATTTTTCATGATACATATTATAATTTGGTTTGAGAAAATTATGAAAATTAATAATTATCATTGATATACGTCTAAAATATGTTACCTCATTACATTTCATTAAGTTAATAACCGTTAGTACCAAAGTAACATGAGTAATATTGTACGATCTCCGGCGTTGACTCGACGGTCAACTGAATCAAAAATAGGTGATCAACTAATTTTGAGTCTTCCGTCTTGTTCGAATCAATGAATCGTTTTTAACCCTTAACTGGGCAATGTATATTTTTGGATACTTATAAGGTAGCGCAACAACAAGATGATCAACTATATTTAAATATCGATATTTTTATTAAGAATCGATATCATCTCATGCAGGCTGCACTAGGAATGGGCGTACGTACAGTTCGAGTTTATTGATTATTTAATATCGATACAATCATCCAGTTGCAATATAATGTTAATAACATTATATTTTATACTTATCGATATTTAGATACATCGTTATAGTTTTATCAATATCAATAAAAATATATCAATCTATCTGGGCAGTGGCGTCAATTTTTATGGGCTGGTCAAATTTTCGATACATAAGGCCGTAAATTATCTGTTTTTTATGCAACTACCTACATTAACTTACCCTATAATAAACCGTCTGAACTGACTACCAAGTATAATAGGTATGAAGATTTATAATACTTGTATTATTACTGTTTTGAATCTAAGTGTTTTGGAAAAAATATTTATATTTGTAAAAATGTTGCCCCACCCTAAGAAAAACTGAAATGTCGCCCCTGTATCTGGGTCATTATTATCATGTAGGTCATGCTTAATAAAAATGGAATAAATAAAAATATGAATTTCAATAATAATAGTGTTTATATAATGAAGCTATATCATATGTCCTAAACTGAGATATTATATCCCTACCTACAATTATTAGACAGCTTTAGTTGTAGATGAAATAACACATTGGATATAATGTATTCCAAATTTGTGAGTTGATATATCACAGTGACACACCGAAAACGGCCAATTTTGCTGTGTAAAATTACATTGCTCCATTAGAGCAGAGGTTCTAGAAGTGGGTCCAGAAGCAAGAGCGTCAACTTCCCAAAATAATCTTTGATAATCTTGTACACTATGTTTTTAAAAAAAATGTAATTCTTTGAATTACTTGTTTTTCTTTTGATATTATGGAATTTTAACAAATTAAAAATCATTTTTGAAATATATTTTGGCGGTAATACGAGTAATAAATTGTTTTTGTCTGTAAATTCTTATATACATAATATTTTACGTGTTGTGCTAACGTATACATATTGTACATTAACTTATAATAATAATTTAAAAAAACATAAAGGATTACTAAAAAATAGTAGCCACACATTTTCATAGGCCCTAGGCACAGTGCCTATGCGCCAATACGGCCTGTACATAAGGGCCCCAGACCTCTCTGATACCTTCGCTTGTGGGGGCACTGGTATTTGGTGTCATATTGTCATGATATGGATATATAGTAGTAAACCACAAATAAAATACGTAGGCATAGAATGGGATGTACTTTGGACAACCATTGGTTACGGACATTATTATGTCCAAATAACTGAAATTCGGATTTTTTCTTGGACAACCTATACCCGCCGGAGACATCCTCAGAATAATCAAAGAATGACAGACATATTGCTTACAAGATTTTATGTAAAAAGACGGAATTCCGTCGCTTTAAATGTTAATAATAGAGTTTTTTTTAAAGAAAATTATCGGTGTACATTGAAATACTTAAACGAAAATTATTTTCAATAATATTATAAATCGTCAATATCCCATTATTTCTGTATGTATTAAATTCGCAACGGTTACAGACTATTTTTGGAGATTTATTAGGTTTCTAGTCAAAACAAACACCTTCCTTCGCCACCCCATAACCCTTCTGTTGTCCATTCGATTGGACGCCTCAGTCAGCGGTGGCTTTAAATTTTTGTTTTGTTTATAAGAAGATAAGTTATACAGAATGTACCTAACACCCAGTGACAACTGAATATTAAAAACTCATCACTACAAACAAATATTTTCGAGGGCTTAATTTCTAAACTCTACATATTATTATTTCAAAAATAATTTGTTGATTTATCTATTAAATAAAATAAAAATGCTGCGCTACCTAATAACAATATTAAACTTTTATTCAAACAAACACCAATCATTTTTGGGTACTTCTTTGCACGTTCTGTATACTATGTACAACATACATACCTACTTAAATTTTTGTGTATATAGTAGCTCAAAAGGGATGAATGGGGTTGCCTAGTAATACCAAAGAGTTACTGTAGTGTCAAATGTGTAATGTATGTATAATGTTGATAATTTGAAAACTTAAATAATTTAAAAAAGTTCCTTTTTCGGTTATCATTAGTACTAAAACTAGAATTGCCTCACCGGTGCAACAAACAGTTAACTAAACAAAATACAAAATAAAATTCACACACAACAAATTAACTTAATTTCTGGCCAAGGGTGTAGCGAAGTCATTGTTCCCAAGTCCATTCGGCCGACTGACTTAACAAAAACAAAATGTACACGCACAAGAACTAATTAGTCATTTTTTTTCCCCTTACTTTTTAATTTTCTCAATGTTCTTATGTTAAAATTTTAAAACTAATATATACGCAAAAATGGGAATACTTTTAAATGAATATATTTATAAAAAAAAATGCAATGGATACAAAAAGTGGTTAAATGTTATTTCATATTTTTTTTAGAACCGCCATTGTTAAGACCATTTTTTAATAAATAATAATATAATTTTACTTAATACTAATAAAGAATAACAAATATACGAAGTAAAACAGGGCTGTGTATACTTTCGTACCTAAGAAGGTATATTTGGCAGGTAATTCATCCGGCGCGGCAACTTTAAAACATTAACTTCCATTTTGTACCTATACACTTAGCAATACGTACTAAAAAATATATAGATTATAGGTGATACCTACACGCATTTATAAAATAAACAAAGATAACAGTTCAATAATAGGTAAACAGTTTTCTAGAGATAATAAAATATCGTTTTTTTGGTGGTGAAAAATATACGTTCGGACTTTTTGTCTCTTTCAAAATGCCATCTGGAAATATTTTTTAAAAACAGCCTCGTTTGAGTCGTTAGCTAATAATTACTCCTTAATAATATGTCATGCTGGCAGCACAACTAACACCATTAATAATCGTATATTGTATACAAGTATTGTTAGTGTTGGCACTACTGAGAGGCGGTTTTTTTAGGGGCGGCGTTTTGTCGATTTTTTATCCGGCGACGTTTTGTCGATTTTTTGTCCGGCGACCTTTTGTCGTGTTTCCATTTATATCTATGGGTCTGTCTATCTATGTATCTGATTTAGTTAGTACTATTTTAAATGTGTACTCGGGAACTTGCACTGTGCTACGCGATTGTTTGTATCTATAGATATTAATTGGTTAGGTTATTAATTATTATCGACGGTTAAGCTTTATAGCGTTTTTCATCTGTTTAATTAATTTGCATTGCACGCGACCTATGACACCACACCCCACTGGTGTGTGCACTGTGCGTTGTGATTATATAGAGTGGATTGTGGAACTTATGGTTTTGGCACTGTCGACATTCAGGGTGTCGTTTTACTGCATTCGTGTAGATAAAATTTACAGTTTACACTGCCACCAGTACGTCATCTACTGCACTGGTGATACAAATTACAAATCATTATCATGCAAACGGTGTAACGCTATTAGGATTTAGGTATAAATTTACCAAGGTCACATCGTGTGACTCACGTGCAACCGGGTTGCGAAAAGCGTACATACAGCAGCTGTTGTCAGTTGTCTGAGTTAATGATAACATATATATAATAGCTATTATTAATATTCATTGTTTAACATTAACAATAATAATAATAATAATAAAGCTTCATAAAAGTCAAACCGCAAACAACAAAGACGGTCTACGTTCTACTGCTTCTACAACTGTAGACAATTTTGAAAAGCTATATACCAAAGCCTTTACAAATTGCATTTTTACGCAGCAATCATTAAATTATTATCATCTTTTATTGTGCAATAGCTGATATTATTTTTTTGTAGACAATTCACTGTGTGCAAATCGCAGGCGTACCTATATTCGTCTTATGAACAAAACTATTTATAATTACTTGTGGCATGCAAGTTTCTAGTGAGCAGCTTGTACGAAAATGTTTTTGAGTAAAGTACCGCGAAATGTTGTGAGGAAGACCAACTGTGTCCCACAACTGTTTTATCACAAAAATGTAAGTACTTATTTTTATTAACAGTAAGACATATTTTGGTCTTTTCTTTCGATATTCATTTAATCCTATGTCCGTGAATAGTGAATAGATTAAAATTTTTTAACTAAAAATTAACTGTATGTCAGTATGTTTAGCTATTTAGTAGGTTTAGGTAAACTGATTAAATTTTAGTAGCAAATAAACAATTAGTTAATTTTTTTAATTTTGATAGATTTTTATTAATTTACTCACTATTTATTAAACCTAGGCGTCCAAAATTTGCATTTATGCGGTTTACAGTCTTCGATATAGGATACAAATTTGAGTTCTCTAGCTCAAAAATTGTAGAAATAATTACGGTTTTAGGGTTTGTCATGTTATTGTTGACATTATCAACTAACTTACCTTATTCCTTTTGCTCACGATGAGAGATTATTAAAACTATTTTTATCTTTAAAATTATTTGCAATGGTTACATTTGTATCATTCAGTTTTGACAGTTTTCTATTATTTTACACATCTGTTGTCAAACATTTTTTTTTAAAAGGAAATCCAAAAAATAGTAAATTTATAGGTTGCATTGTGTGAGTAAATCAACAGTCAACATTAATTTGAAAATATTTTCATTATATTGTTAATTATGATGTATGGATACCTATTGCAATATATTATTATATTCAGACGAGCCTAATACTAGCAATACATTTTTAAGCACATTTTTGACATTAGGAACAATGTTTTTATCAATATTTTTTATTTCTATCATTTTAGATTTGCATCTAAGTGTTTATTTAAAAGTGATTTCATCACTTTCATTTGTAATAATTTATATAGCCTGTGTCACTTCATCCCACTATGCCCCTACTCCACTGTATTATTTTAATTGTTTGGTTTGATGTGGTTATATTACAAATTATAATTATATCATAAGCTTTTTTAGAATGAAGTTTTGATAAAATTAAAAAAAATAATGGAACAATATTTTTTTTAATTTTAAATTTAATTTAAAATATGTAGGTCATCGATCATTATGAAAATCCACGTAATGTTGGATCAATGAATAAAAGTGATAAGAATGTTGGAACTGGATTGGTTGGTGCTCCCGCGTGCGGTGATGTTATGAAGTTACAAATTAAAGTTGATGACGCTGGTAAAATAATAGATGCTAAATTTAAAACGTTCGGTTGTGGCTCAGCAATTGCATCCAGTTCATTAGCAACAGAGTGGGTAAAAGGAAAAACTGTAAGTTTAAGTTTTTATTTAATTCTTATTTTAATAATAGTTGTATAATGTAAAATCTATTTATTCTTATTAGGTGGATGAAGCGCTTTCATTAAAAAATACAGATATTGCTAAAGAACTTTCGCTGCCTCCCGTTAAACTTCATTGTTCAAGTATGTAATTTCATAAACAACAATGTAATGTTCCAATTTCATATTAAACTAAACCGATGAATCAATTAATTAATTAAACACTGTATTTATTATTTAATAATGATGGTGTTTTTAAAAAAGGGTAACCAACAATTTATTATTTTTTAAAAGGTGGGTTACTCTATTCCAACTTGATTATAATTTATCACCAATTTGATTACTAAAAATATGCACATGGACTGTATGCTCTGGCATAGGCCCACTTCGGTCCCCAAGGTGGCAGAATTTTTAGTTTACTTCATTTAGGTTTCTGCCATGCTGACGATTTAATATTTCTATCTTTAAACGCTATCTGAAATGTCGAGAAGGGGAATGTTTGCTCCTTTTCACCGCACTCTTTCTTGTCTGGTAAACAGAGTGCCTGTGACCGATGACAGTGAGTTAACACACAGTACACACTGTCCCCTTACCGACTCAGCCACTCGTCCCTGTCGTATAAGTAACGTTTGGTTACTTATACACCTAAATGTTAAACTAATTTAGTAATTTTAATTGAAATTATTCAACAAAACACCATTAATATTTTTATAAAATAACAAAATAAAATACATAGTTTTATAAATTCATCTAAGAAATAATATTTATAATTTAATATACTTAAAATTAATTAGTAAATAATTTGATTTTTTCTATAGTGTTAGCAGAGGATGCAATAAAAGCAGCACTTTCTGACTATCGAATTAAACAACAGGAAAAGAACTCTGAAGAAGAGAAATAATTTTAAACATTTTGTAAATTAGTAGATTATTTATTTTTAGCATTGTTTAGGTAAGTTAAAAATGTTAAAAATTATTGTTTGTTTTTTTTAGAATAATATATTCATGAAAGTACATTGAAAATATTTAACAAACAAAATAAATTAAGTTCCTAAAAACATGATGAAAACTCATTTGACACCTATTACTATATTACTTATTGTAAAACTTTTTGGCAGTGGTACATACATTTTCCTAATGTTATTTGTTAACCTATTAATTTTTTTTGGTTGACACTTGGCTGTGTTGACAAACTATCTATTGCTGGTTCTCATTATAAAAAAATTCATCATTAAATTATTGTATAATAATCTGACAAATACATAAATATATATGAGGGTGTCCCTAATTTTGGACTTATTTTAAAAACTTTATGCTTCCAAGGTCTCAAACTGCTCGAGTGGGTGAAAAAAACGGCCCCAAGAGTCTCAATTTTGTAGCTCAATATTTATCCGTGCTTGTAAGACTGAAGTTCCCCATTTAAATAACAGGATTATTGAAACTTTTTTCAATATTTTTGGAGAAAAAAAATCTTAAAAATATGGGAATAAAGAAGAAGTTTATGTGTGACACATACTTTCAACAAAAAATTTAAAAATTAAGAAGTAGGCCATTGTCCACATGGGTGAAGTCAAAATATCAAGTTTCCCCTAAATTTCGAGTTTTTTTCCATATATTTTTGTTTACTGCATATTATGTTGGACTATAATTTTCACGTAGACACAATTATTGATTCCTACGAATGAAATGTGACAATATTATACTCTTGCTATGATAAAAAAAATGAAGAGTATTCACACTTCATACAGATACATCAATACATGGATATGTCCTCCAATCCTCCTCCACAATTCCTTAAAACTCCTCTATAAACCATCCATAATCCTTAATAATCCCTCCATAATCTATAATGATGTCAGCACTGTGACACAAAACGTAACGGACAAATATTCAGAATGACCCCCAGCCATAAAACAAATCCATGTCAATAATAACTACTTTAAAAATAAATTAGTTTTGGTAATACTGAGTAGCTTTTGAATTAAACTGAGTTGTTTAAGCAAATTCTATTTTGAAGGAAACGAAAAATGGGCCTGATCGATAACGTCAAAGCTTGTAACTTTGACACAATGCCGTAGAATACTGGTTCAGTCAAGGGTGCTGCAGTTTTGATAGAATAAATATTCTGAAGAGACCACTTGTGGTTGCCATTACGCTATCAAGTATTTGAAATGGTGTTAACTAGTGATTTTGATCTCAAAATGGCCAAATTGTTGAGAGCTTTTGTAGTGCTTTGATTGAGATATTACCCAATTTCATTTGTAGGAACAAATAATTGCATCTGTGTGAAAATGATAATCCTGCCTGTAGGCTATATATATTCTGTAAAGAGAAAGTATATGAAAAAAAACTTGAAATTTAGAGGGAAAACTTGATATTTTGACTAGGCGCATGTGCAAAATGCCGACCAAGTAATTTTTAAATTTATTTTTGAGAGTTCATGCCATACACAAGCGAGTCACATTGGTCCTTTATTTTTAAGATTATTTGTTATATCTTTCGAAAATGTTGAAAAAAGTTTCGATCATCCTGTGTTATTTAAATGGAAACTTCAGTCTTACAGACGGGTAAATAATCAGCTAAAGCATTGAAACTCTTAAGTGCTTTTTTTTTCACCCACTAAAGCAGTTTGAGACCTCTGGAGCATAACATTCTGAAAAAGTTTGAAATAAGGGATATATATATATATATACATTTATTGACATTTCCAGACAGATTATACAGGCATGAAATAGACAAGTACATTATATTGTTAATACATATTTTTTTATTTAGAATGAAAAAGTATGTACATAAAATGAATATAGTTTATTTACAAATGTAAATGCAATTTAATAAGCTAAGCGATAAAACTACTTTAAAGTACAATAAACAAATGTTTGTTTTTTTAGATTTATGACTTAAAACTATAACTAGTTTTAATATAAAAGTATTAAATGTTTTTAAAGGTTAACATTTAACGTTATTAGTTGGAGATAATAACATTTTTATCTCTATCCTATAGAGCAAAGAATGATTATTGTTATTAACTGATATTTTTTTCTTAACCATCCGTTTTTTTAAACTTAAAAATAGGAGTTTTTAGTTGTTTTTTTGTAAGCAGTACATTTTCTGAATAAATAAATGCACTATATCACTGATACATTATTTTTGAAGAACAATCAAATACTATAATCTCAAAAAGCATTAACAATTAAATAAATAGAAATATTTTTATTTATTAATTAAAATATAAAAAAATGAATCAGATATTAAAAAAAATATGATTATTTAATAAACCGTTTACATTATTATGCTATCTAGTAGTTAATTTTTAAGTAGGTATTGTACATTTTATTTTTATTTTAATAGATTGTTTTAAGGACGATTGAAAGTGGGTTGGTTTTTAAGGAGATTTATATAGGCAGTATTTAAGAAAAAAGTGGTTTTAATTAATTTTGACCATGGCAATTCATTTTCAAAATCATTTTTATAAGCTTCAGGGTATAACTTTTAACATATACAATTTTTTCTACAAGTAAAAGCCATTTTGTTTTTGTAAGAAGTCAATTTTAGACCTAAAGCTTGACTAAATTACGTCTACTTAGAACAATAGGATTTTAGTTCTGTAAAAGTATTTAAGCTTATCAACCTTTTTTCCAGGTTATTGTGGAAGTCCAGTTTTGAATAATTGTTGTTTCGTTTAATTAAAAAAACAAATAATAGGAATACTAAAAATTTGAGAAATTCAAATAGGATTTATACACAATTTTTATTGAAATATTAAAAATCAATTGCCACATCAACTTAGAAAAGAAGCCGATAAACTCTATTTATACAGAATTTAAATTGGATCATCTCAAGTAGGTAGGTGTAATTTTGTCAGGCTTTTTTTGTCAACCCCACCACTTTCAATCCTTTTCAGTAATATTTATTTATTTTAATTAGACTATCATTAGGTGTTTTCTTGAAAATTAATAAGTAAAAAGTTATTGATAATATGATAATTCAAATAATTTTTTTTAATACTAAAAACATATTTAAAACTAGTAAAATAAATCAAGTAACCAATTAGTACTTAATAAATACTTTGAATACTGATTAATAATTTTAATTCAGATTTTATATCATGTGACATTGTTAGTTAATCTTTTTTTTTCGGTTTTTTTGGGTTACGACTCCTAGATTTGGCTTTGCAAAGGGGACAAATTGGAGCATTGCGATGTATTTGTTGATGGCACGACAAACATGATTTCATTGGTGGAGGTTGCTGCCTGAAATAATAATATACTACCATTAATTAATAAATAAACACAATTTTACTTTAGAATATTACAATTTTAACTATTATAATTGATATTTATAAAATAATAAATAAAGTGTTTGAAATGTTTACTAAAATGATGAACTTGTTTGTGTTCATGTACAATGCGCAAAAATAAACTAACACTTAACTTCAGGTTTGTTTTGTTTAAAATTGACGTGCTAAATTTATATACATTTCTACATTGTATTATGCAATTGTTTTTTTTTATGGGAAACCCCTAAACTTTAAGAGGCTATTGAGGATTAAAAAAAAAAATGACCAATTTCAAGAGTAGCGTTGAGTGTTAAAGTAACAAAAACGTCAAATTAGGTGAACCGCCTTAAAATTTGTGTATCTAGTATACAAATATTAGTCTAGTAAAAATAATTTTATTGTATTACCTAAACGTTGGTGGTCCCGGTATTGGTGGTATTGGCCTTGTGTCTACGGATCCCCCATTTACCATTTTGCTACTAGTGGCCAATTGTTGTAGCGGAGAAGACTGAACAGCGGCTGCTTGAGATCCAAGAAATGCAACTACAGCTGCTTGGGCATGCTGGTGAGCTTGAGAAAAGTTTAAAGGCACATTATCTCCATTATGCCAGTCAGAGCTAGTAGGGGTCGAAACAGCAGGTTTCATTTGCTTGTCAAAATAATTTTGTACAAAAAGGCTGAAATAAATAATTTTATAAGCATTCCTAAAAATAAGTTTCAAGACTAATTTTAACAATTAATAAAAGAGTATTTTAGTTAACATAAATCAATCATTATACATCAACTATATGTAATTTATGTCAGCTAATGACTATTTTTAATAAAGATGCTTACTCAGGCCTGACGAGATCACTTTCTTCTTCATGAAGTTCTGGTAAACGTTCGAGGCCAAGAACATCGCGGCGCATACGATCTATATCAAGTTTTAGAGGTTTATACTCATCGTGAACTTGTTTAGCTCGTTCCATTGAGCGATTTCTAGATTCCTCTGCTTTTTTAATAACACCTTCCATCTAAACAATACAAATTCATTGTTATTTTACTTTTAAAGAATGAATTTTTTACTTACAGCATTTATGTCAGCATGTATTTGGCGAAGTTCTTCTACATGCGCCATTTTTTCCTGTAATAAAAGTTCTAGCTCTTTACGGTATTCTGATAGACATTTATCTTCTTGATCGCTGGATTCAATTTCTTTCAAAATATTATTTTTGAGCGTTTCCAATTTTTCCGTCTTATCCCTTAAAATCAATATAAGAAATTAATAATCGAACTAGTACATTTTACTCTGGTATAACTGCTAATTTATGTACCAAATAGGAGTGATTGCTGTCCCATAAATATGTTACTTTTAAAAAATAGTTCGTTGGACATAATTTTTGGTATAATTAATTATTAAAAAAAAATAATGCATTATATCATTATTTTATTAATTATTAACTTATACTACCAGTGACAAATCCGATTAATAACGCTATTGTGGTAAAATAATTAGCATAAGAGTAACATTGCATTATTGTCTTACTAGTTACAAATGCTGAAAGGCATTTTATTCAACAATGAAAAGGTAATAGAGTGAAAAAAAGTAATTGAATTACTATTTTTTCTTTTTTTTGTATCCAGTCTATTATATTTATAGTTGCGATACTGATTATTACTGAAGACTTACCTTATGTCTTTTAATGCGTCTAGTTTTTTAAAAACTTCTTCACTTTGCGCTTCTTCGGTCATTTTTCCAATAGCGTATTACCAAAGACAGCAAAATATTATATATAATATAAAAAAAAATCCAACACGATGGGACAACCTCGATAAAAATCAATATCCTTAAGTTCTGCCGCCGCCGCCACAGGATGAGTATTGTCGCAGCCACCGTCGATTGTCGAATACGGGATGACCACAGGATGCTGTCCATTTGTTTACATTTTCTTATCATCGGTGTTATCAATCCGGCAACTTTATGGTATACAAATAGGTATGTCAGCAATTAGTGATACTTTAAAATGGCTGCGGGTTTACTCAAGTAGCTGTGTAGTTCTTACGATGGAAAACTGGCTACCATTTTGTAAAAATTAATAACACAATTTGCTGACATACCTTATCATATGGTCATGGCATCAATAAAATGTAGCTCGCTGTAAAATGACAAATAGTTAGATTATAGATAGGTTAGGTAAGAATAGACTATCCGATGATATGAGATCGGTAATCGCGGAAAATAAAATTTCATTCCAAAATTAAATAAAGCGAAAGGGAAAAATATTATGTAAAATCTGGGTTATTACCCAATGTACCATTTGTTTTTTTGTTCCAACGACATTAATGCCTAATAACACACAGCCTCGTCCTAAGAAATATTAATTGTATCAACAACCAATACTGAATACTTCAATATATTAATTATTGTATGTTTATTATTAATTATTAATTGATCAATCTAAGGAATGACTACGTTGAACAATAATAAAAAAAATATGGTTAATTGATTTGGAAATTTGTTTAGCCTCGTTTCGCATTGATAATATAATACATTTTTAATAGTCATTATAGTGACTGGCTCACGAAAAGTTTTTATAATATAGTTTTAGTTGTTTTTTTTTTATAGTGACAAATTTCCATTAGTGGGTATCAAAATAATTGGCGCGCTTTTTAAAATGTTTAAATGTACGTATTTCATTATAGTCGTCATATTACGAGTATAAATTGTAGCTTGACGATGGGGGTGTTAGGTGCCGCATGTGTTGTTGATTATATCATCATATTATTAAGATAGAAAATTTCATAATTTATTAGTAAAAATATGCTTGAACACCATGTATTTTATTTTATTCATTACATGTTTTTTGGGAAGAACCATGCTACTACGCCGTATTCCGGAGTCATAACAATAGTCCGCGTTTTCACAACTAGAGCGCGTTGTTCTCGGGCGACTGGACCGTGGCCTATCCGTTCTTTAATTTTTTATTTTCCCTGGTTATAAGCGGGTTTTCGTGATACGCGTCGGTCGCAGAACGGCGGTAACCGTTGTTTCCATGGCGGTTATCGTGTGTTCCATGACGGGTTTTTGTGACAGGACGTCGGCACAGCTGATTTGTCCAATCGCAAAAAAACAATTTGGTGTCGTCAGCTCAACCGCAGGCCGCCACTGTTCTCTTATTACGTTTTCAATTTCCAACGTCCACGCACTGTCGTCATTTGGCTTAGCGCAGGCCGCAGATTTCTAGTAACTCTACCGCCGACGCTAATTTAACTTTTGCCTTACGGCCCATCGACCGGCGACGCTAACACACGCTGGTATTGACTAGCGATTCGTTTTAATAATACATCGTCGTCAACTAGTGTAACGCAAAAGTCGATCATGTTGCTGCTGAAGGCGAGTGCAGTCTTATTATTCACGGTTGCGTGTTATGCAGGTTCCATACAAACGTCTGTGCCCGACCCCAAAGATAGCTACACGCACCCACTGAGTGAGTATCACGATCGTCCATTGTATCGTTTACGAAATCAAGGTCAATAATAAAAATGTCCATGTGCGGTTCATAATCGCACACTCGAGTGCGGTTTTTGTCAGTCGACTGTATAACAAATTTACATCGTGCTTTGTTTTTACATTTCAATTGGTTTTCAAAGCTATTGCGTATTAACTTTCGCGCGCTTGCACAAGTTAGTTTACGCGATAAGCTCAATATTGTAGATTACACTTTATACTGGTTTCGGCGGTGGGGTGGGTTGTTATTTCGCTTGATAAACGTTAGCTGTTAATTTTTCCATATTTAGCCGACAGTTGTGTATTGATTGGCTGTAACTTGGTCTATTGTGTAGTTATATGCATGTTGGCTGTTAAGAGTGGTTTCCGTTTGTTCACAGCTCACTTGTATCATCCAAGGTTAAACTAATAGGCCACAACTGTTTAGTAGCTTGCTTGTGCTAGCAAAAACAGTTACATTTGTTTAAAAAATATACCAACGCATATAATAATATTATTATCGTATTGTGATGCGTCAACCTTGATGGAGCCACAAAACTAGGCTTTTGCATTCATAGATAATATCAGATTCAGTGGCGATTTCATTTTTTTCTAAATGACTTGCGTATAATTTGTTTTTCGTCACAACAATGTGATGCTTTGATTTTGATAATTTTTTAAATATTTAAAAAAATAGGTTTTTACTTATAATTATTGTTGTAATAAACAAAGAAACCTATTGACATCAGACTATTTAAATTCATATTTATGTAGATAAAAATAAATGAGCATAAAATTCAATATTTGTTTTCTTATCTCTCTTGTTTCTCTCTCTCTCTCTCTCTCTATATATATATATATATATATATTTTAAAATATAGTCAAATATAAAGTTGTTTTCTTGGGATTTTTTTTGTTTTGATGTTGTTTAAAAATAAATTATTATTCCCTATCATCTTCTTGTTATTTTATCTTAATATTAATGCACGTTGTTGACAGAATAAACTTATAAAATAAATATTTTTTTATAAAATAATATAAAACATTATTTTTACTTTGGGCAGCCTTTAAGCTTCAGTGCGGAGCTAAGACCACTCTTTCCCCTTCAAGAACAAGAAAAACCCTTAAAAGTGTATATATTTTTCCACTAAAAATTATGGTGTGCTATTACTTTATAAAAAATAGTCTAATTAGTTCTAAATTTGAATGGAATTTTCCTAAGATATAGTACTACCAATAAACGTTGCAAAACAAAAAAAATACTATAAATCCTGTCTGGGGAAAGGTGGTGACTTATCTTTTATAATTTTTTTTAGATGAAGTTTGAAAATTTAAAGTCTGAAAATTAGACCAAAGGTTGATCTAATGTAGGGTAAATAACAAAAATAAAGGGAAAAATTATACTTTGATCGTAGTCAATTTCTAGATTGCTATATGTGAGTCAACATGTGTTTGTAAATATTTTCATTATATTGTTAATTATGAATTATGATACATAGGTAACTACCGAAATAAATGATTATAGTCAGTCGATCAACCTAATTGTATCCACCTTAGTACTTAAAATACATTTGTAAGAACATTATTGTTATTAAATACAATGTGTTAATATTTTTATTTCTACCATTACAGATTCACATTGAATCGTTCATTTGAATAAAATAATTTTATCACTCAGTTAAAATAATTCATATAAACCTGGACCTCCCCTGCCCCAATACGGTCCGTCTCCACTATGCTTCATTCCATTGTACTGATTTACTTATATTGGATTTAGTTTTTGCAAAAATTATGTAAGAATAATCGGCATTTTCTCTTTCCCGTTAAATTTTGAAAATTAACTATTTTACTGTAAAAATTAGTTGCATATTTTGTATTCTGTCAATTAAAAAAATTTATAGTTGGTCTACTAAGTTGATTTTTTTTTTAGTACTTTTCAGACCTCTAATAAATGCTGAGACTCAAATGATAACGTATTTATATATTTTGTTCTATTATAAGAGGAAGAATAAATTTAGGTACTAAAAGTGTTTAGTGGTTAAAAACTAGTTTAGATTAATTACTTTTAGAGTTGCTAGGTTTTTATAGATCAGGTGTAGGGGAAATGCATTTGAATAGTACTCGCACACAAAAATAACATTGCGCAGCATTTCTCGCCTCGTCTACGCCATCAATTGCTTAATATTTTTAAAAATGATCAATATTTATAATTAATTATAGATCAGTCAAAATGTATAGTAAGATTAATTTTTAATAGAATATATTATTGACAACTGTTGTAGTAAGCATTAAGCTTCATTATTTTTACAAAAACTAGTATATTTTAACATATTTTATATTAAATGCTAATATGTTTTCGCTTTTAGTTTCAATAACTTATATGTCACTTTTTGCCATGAAAATAAATTACTTTTCAGATTGGTTCTTTTCCATTTTAAATTTGTACGCTTTCCAAATTGAATTATAATAATTTAAAATTTTAAATGTTCATTGTATGTAATTGGAGGAAGTAATTAAAAAAGTAATAAGACTAATTTCAAATAAACTTGTGAAAAATTACATTTTCAGATTTACTATTGCATTGTTAGATTGTATAATTGTAGGAATTGTTTTTTTATATCTAATGAAGCTTAATCTAAGTTAAGTCTAATAAATTGTATCGTTAGTAGGTACTCCTAATAGTAGGAACTCCTAATAGTAGGATTTTAGTTGGTTGAATATTGTAATGTAACTATGTTTTTTTGGTTGTTTTGTTCATTACCTAACGATTTATTATAATTCTAGATATTGCACCAGAACCAGCAAAAAATACCAGTACTATTGTACCGACTACTACAACTACAAATATTACAACTTCTAAACCTCCTACACCTACTACTCTAAACCCTAATATAACAACAACAGCTTCGCCAAATACAACTACATCTACAACTACGCCACCATCAACTACATCAAAACCGAATACAACTACAACTACACCCGCACCCGTGCCATCAACAACAACCCCAAGACCATCACCTACTCCGAGTCCTAGCCCCAATAGCACTACTACTGTGTCCCCAGAGCCTGCTCAGCCTAGAAAATGGGATGGTCCGAGTTTCTTAGGTAAGACTCAATATATTATATTTTTTTACTATAGTTGTTGAAATGTATAAAATGTATAATTTTATTTTTTAGGTGGTATGGTTCTTGCCTTTGGCATTGTTGCCGTTGGATTTGTTGGTTACCGATTCTTCTATTTGGGACGTGGTGGCGCTTACCATACATTGTGAATAATGGTCATCTGATGTGTATGAATCAAATGATAAAAAAAAGAACAATAATTTCTTTTCACGATAGGTCTATTTACATTTAATCTTAAACCTAAACATTTGTAAAATACATGTTGATTATTAATCAATCATTTTTATTTATAGAAAGCATATTATAACAAAGTGCTAGTATATCTTATTTATTACCAGTAGCATGTTCAAATGCTTCTTTCGACATATGAGTTTAAAATATTGTACGTACTGTAGCTGCTACTGTCATTTATACTGTTATGAATTATTTTTCTTTTTACTTTATATGGAATAGTCAATATTTAAAATGACAAAAATATTCTTATTCAATTTATTTCGGTGATAACTAATGTAAAATTATTTTTAAGTATTTTTTTTATATATAATTAAACACTGTAAAGTATATTTTGAGTTTGTTTTTTATAAGTTATAACCATTTTTATTTTCATCAAAATGTACAGGAATTGTTCGAGTTTCAACACATTTCTAAATGAGTTTTAGTAATTTGTGAGTTACATTTTATTTTTGTTTGCTGTAGTCATCATGGTATATTTATTACATTTTTTAAGTTTGAAATAAATGGGTATTACACCTATTTTTTTTTAAATTTATATTTAACTCGTTAAATCGCACCAGTGCAATTTTTTGCTTAAATACATTCCTCATATAAAACAATATAAGATAACTTTTTTTATGTTTGAAAGAGGAAGACTTCTACAATATCTATGGAGCTACAATTTTCAAAATTTAAATTACAACTCGTACGTGTCCTATGACTTATATACAGGGTGGCTCACAAAGATTTGACAAATTAAATAACTTTTGTTCAAGTGAATATTTTTGAGATTTTTTTTTTTTTTAATAAGTTATTCAATAAGTGGCAAAGCGTCATAGGAAATAAAACATAGTCTTGACTGAAGAAACTACTTGAAAAAAGGAAAACGCAATTTGGTGTTCTATAACTTAAATAACAACGGTTTTATAACAAATTGCTCTAGTTGAGTCTTGCATCGCATTTCTGCGTTACAATAGTACTACTTATTTGTGCATAGTAAAATGCAAATAAATGCCTAGTAAAATCAATTACATTGATTAAATGGTTGTATTACGAGTGTGATAGAGCGTTTGCTCAAATAGACTTAAATTATTTAAATATAGATTGATACTTTTTCTTTAAAATAAGCTATGAGTAGTGGCAGTTTCTTTAAAAATGATTGCTGTTGAAAGTAAGATTTAATCGCTTCGAGGAAGTTAACCGATAGTTAACCGCTTCCCGTGAAATTAAGATGGATTATAATGATAAATACACCTTACGTGATGCTTGTGCATTCTATTTAAAGCCGATAGAAAATAAATTACAAATAATCCATAAAATTGGGGATGTGTACCTAAGTGGTTTTTATTGTACGATAATTGGCAACACTGAAGTTTGGCATTGAGTATATTATTGTACTTTCGCCATAGAATAAAGAATTAGTATAATTGGCATTTATGACAATTTATCAATATTTATATTCGGTTATAAGTTATGACTGTTTAAAAAGACAATAGGTACATTTTTAGTTTACTGTTCACGTGGAGATTCAAATATTGATGAGTAACGTTATATGACAGGACTTGCCAAGTATTAAGTAAGTCACTTACTGTATTCCTTTAACTTGATGGTACCTGTTATTGTCATTAATGAGGATAGAATTTTTACATAAAGTAATTATAATGTTTATACTATTATAATTTAAACTTCAAATGTTTTACTTTATTTTGTAAGATACAAAAAACAACCATAAAAAAAATGCTCGATTTTGATGTTTCCGTGTAATTAATATTTGCAGATTAGTACTTGCATTAAGTATAATATGCAAGCTATCTATTATTTTGTGTAAATTCGGATGTCGAAAGTTTCAGCCCTAATACAATTTAATCTAAAAATAATTTGACACGATTAAAATGGATTTAAACAAGTTTTTTATCCGCTATTACCTACAATTTTTCCTTTAATAAATGAACATATAAACTGTGAACATTTTCCCAAACTGGTCAGGTTTAAAATAGTTTTGTAAGCGATAAAATATTATGAATAGCTTAAAAATTTAATTTTGTCCATCAAAAAATACAGCGTTTCAACGGTTTTGTAATCGGCATCGATAATCTTGGCACTGACATCGTCCGGGCAGGTGTCTTCTACCAATGAGTACAGATCTGGGGCAAACGGACACCGTGGCTCTGGTTCTTCGGAGAATGCTTGGCTCACCTCGTTGCACTTTAAGAACACGGCCCGTTCTGGCGTGACCATCACCATCTTGTAAGGGCCTCCTTCGCCTATTTCTTTCATCTGCAGCACCATCCGGTCGGGGCCCACGTGCACGTTCCATCGCGATGCAGTGAACTGGTGGCTGTTGCTCAGAGCGGCGGCACAGTGGTAGAGATGTCGTTCGACCACCGCGTGTTTCGGTGGCCGGTTGCCGTCCACGTAGTACCGGGCGTCCGGTGCTGGGAACAGGTTAACGCCTCCCCTGTGCAACATGCGAACCAGTCTGTCCGGTCTATAGTACGTGCCAACGATTTCCTGCAGAGCGACTGTGGTAGCGTTCTGCAGTTGCACCATGGCCGCGTGGTCTCCGCGCACAGAAAACTCCACCAGTACTGTGGCCGCCGTTATTGAAAGTATCACGCCGGCATCGGCGGTCGTTCCTTCCGGCCGTATTTCCCATGACTGAAACGGAAAGTTGGAATAACGATTGACGGCTAACCCGAAAGAGCCCATACGGCCCGCTCGAAACGATACCGTCTGTTTTTCCTCGTTGAACCTGTCCACGAAAACGTTACATTTTTTTAATGACATGGCAATTCGTCTTTTTTGGGTTAAAACCACCAGTTTTAAATCTAAATTCTACCCATTGCTATTGACTTTTCAAATTTAGTTTCAAAGTTGAGAGGAAAATTAAATTGTAAACCGAGTAAGAGAGATTTAGAGGTTCGGGTGTACTGAAAAAGAAATCTATATCGTAATGTATGCTCCAAATAAAAACTCGGGAAGTGTATAGAATAATGGAGAAGAAACGTAGAGTTAGGCGATTTGGATGATCGCACTCATTTTCTATAATAATATCCACTATAAGGAAGAATAAACGAACACACATGCGATTAAAAAATTGAGTGATGGATTACGCGTATTAAGAATAATAAAAAAATGGGTAATCTATCTGTAACCGTATTGAGGTTTTAGTTTTTGGAATTCACGTCGTTTTACTTGGCTAATTGATGTACATACTGGAATGAACTTTGGCTGTTTTAACGTTAAAATAATTAAAAAAATATGATATCGTTAACATATAATGTGAGTGCAAGATTGCACAAATTGAAGCTGGATTACATTGTGAAAATTTTTTAGTTTTTATATAATATGTATGATTATTTCGAGCAATTTACCTGATGTCGTAAATATTATCTGTAGTCCAGACTTTTTTCTCTTCATTCCACATGGCAGGCTTCGGATTCTCAAACCAAAGCACGTTCTCTGGCAATTTAATCGTTATCAGGACGAGCCTGCGAAGAGCTTCTTGGTTTTGTTTTTTTACGTCTGTTTCCTCGTCCTCGGAGGATGTCGAAGAAAAAACTATCGAAGACAACTGTAGTGGCTCGTACTTTTCAAAATATTCTATGGGTTGGAGTGCGGATGACCCAATGATCAGAACTACTACGGTACCGTCTTTGTGTTGTACTGGCTGCATTGGCAGTTTCCACATTTCAACGGTAAAAGCACCTCCGATTATCCAATATCTGAAAATACAGTTAAATAAATAAATAACGTCAGACCTTGTCGGTTTTCGTGTTTACGCGTTTATGTGTCTGTGGATAGAATAATTGCTGGTTAACATAACGATAAAATTATCATTTTAAATCGGATACACGTAGATTAAAAAGTGTTTTTCGTAACCTTTGCGGTGTTGAAAAGAGTAAAATACCTTCTAGGATTGAGTTCGTTAGGTTTTTCTAAATATTTCAAAGAGTTCGCCACTTTTTCAATTTGTTCGAATTTGATTTTTTCGAGTTCTTCGCTCAAAGACCTTTTAATATAAATTGGACTAGTTATTTTGGTTTCAATCTCCTTGATCGGTTCCGCTTTTGGCTCCGGGTTAGTGTGTTCTTCGCGGTCTTCGTGTTCTTCAGCTTGCGATTCTTCTTCTGCTTCGTCGCCTACAATTTCGTCTACTGACATCGTATACGGCACGTTTATTTTCGTACTCTTGCCCTCTTTCTCGGCCAAATATGTTTTGAGGTCGTCCGGATAATGGCTTCGATCTACGTCCGCAAACACTTTGAGCTTCTCTTCCATTTTGGCCATCCACCATTGTTTCTCCGCTTTAGCTTTTTCTTTTTCGATGTCTTTTTTCAGCTGTTCTCTCGCGTCCCACTTGTCTGCCATAAACTGATGAAGATTTCGATCGTCTAAGTCTGGTGAGAGAGAAACGTCGAAGGCTAACATTCTATCCGTGTACGGGTCCCAACGCAGCCACAGTGCCATCACCGCCATATAAGTTTGTGACAGATGAGCCGGCACCTCGACCGACACCAGGCTATCAGGAAAATCACATTTGGGCGCCTCTCGGTTGTCCGTCATCAGTCTAGGCTTATAGCAAACAGCATACAGGCCAATAGCAAAAGCATCGCATAACTGCTGGTACGATACAGTTTCCAAGTCTATTTGATTCATCCGAAGTTCGTAGTCGCTTAGTAACTGATAACTCGTGTCGTAAATGATTTCTACTAGCAATCTTCCTAAATTGTCCCTAGCTTCTCGGAAACACTGAAGTTGGTACTTGTCTGCAACATCAATTAATCTTATTAAAATTGTTGCTGTACAAGGGTGTTAATGTAAGATTGAACTCAATTAAAAAAAAAAAAAAATAATAAGTTTTTATAAATGAGAATTAAAACTATAGCTGCAATAAAGAAGCAAATGTAAATAAATGTTGAATGTACCATGTCGTCAGTCTATTTAGCAATGGGCGTAACTCCAAAATACCAAATTTCACTCTAAATGGAAAAAAACCGTTTAATTTATTCTACATATTTCAACGACAATAATTGCTTACTGTTTATCACACATTTCATAGAAAAAACATTGAAATATAATCATTATTGTACCAGTCGACGCACAGTTTTTTTTCTTTCAAATAGTGTAATATACCGAAAATTGATTTTTTCGGAGATAGGTCCTTTGCTAAATAGGCTGAGTGCTGACGATGTGCTCTCTTCGTATTTAGTAATACAGCTATAACAGACATAGTATATTAAAATGGCGTGAATTTATATACACGAGACAAGCACAAAATTGCAACGTTGGGGTAGGTTAGGTTCTGTAATTTATTAATTATTGGTTATTATCACTATATTACTAATATTATTATTTTATTATATTTATTTATTATTATTAGTTACATGATGCAATAACTAATATAGGCACTTAGACACTGAAAATAATTATGTGGTGTTCAGGCAAAGCGAAATAAGTAAACATTACGTTTTTTTCAGTTAAGTTTAGAATAAGAGAAGTATACCATTTTCATAGTAGGCTAGTTCTAGTGGTTTTATATTATATTTGCTCTTTAATCACTCTTTGTAATAAATTAGTCTATTAACAGTATAGTCGAGACAAAAAAACATACAATTAAAAGTTTTCATCTTTTGCCAAAACACCAGTTATTTTATATTTTTTTAACAAAGCTGATTTGAAATGCTGTCGCTGATTAATTAATTCGATAAAAATAGTAAACATTTTAAGTTCTGTGAAATAATATTAAAATATGAACTAATAATATTTTAATAGTCTATATACCTAGTAGGATAGTAACCTATGTAAATGCATTTTTCGCTATCTTCGTTAACTCGCGTTGAAATTATATTGTAACCACACACTGGGGTGAAATGATTTTATTTAACACCGGTTGCACCTTAAAGAATACCTTACTGAAGTCCAGCGGCAAATCCACTACATCGTCTACAGCGTCCATGATTTTGAATATTTCCAAACACTTGGCCAGATAAGTGTCTCGGTTGTCACCAGCTTTGTACATTTCTCTCCAGACAAACAGATAAGTATTTAATTCTTGCACTACCCTCGGGTTGGGCGTTCCGTCGCATTGTATACGGTGATTCCAGTCCAACTCCTCGCGATATTTTCGGTCGTGTTCGTATTTCTTTTTCGTTAATCCTGCCAACATTTCGCAAGTCATTTTCAGCCGTACTTGTCGAATCTGCAAACCGAAAGGATTTCACATTAAAATACAAAACCAAAAAATATTTGACGATCCACTGCTGGTAGTAAAATAATAACAACACTGGACACTTCCTGGAGTTTCCTTTTTTCACAACCAAAAAATCCATAAGTACACACTGTTTTACTTAAATATTAGTATTAAGAAAATTAATTTTTAAAAGGTTACTCGCAAGTAACTTTTTACACAAAATCAAACTTGCTAGTAAGGTATGTGTTGCTTTTAGGGAGGCAAAACAAATTGAAGCGGCAAAATCAACACGTTGAGTGCCACGAAGTAATTGCAAGTCATAAATTTGTCATTTTCAATTTAAAATAAACGTTTTATCTCAAGTGTTTTTATTTTTGGAAATATGAGTAATACTTTAAATTACCTACAAACTATAGCTTACTAAATAATTAAATATCATAAAACACCGAACACAGGAGGTTAAAATGTTTGTTTTGATGTATACTTTTGTTAAAGACAAATGTCTAAACTACGTAGTTTGCTTGTAATTTAATTTAATTTTAAACTGGGTATTTCTTACACAGTAAAAAACAGTGTTTTTAGATTATATTAATTTTGTTACTCGGTAGCTTACAAAGTATTACTAATTTGACATTGAAAAATTATATTTACATTTTTGTTTGGTTAGAAAAATTGGTATCTTGTGCAATATCATCGAAATAAGTGTGTCAAATTACTTGGAAAATATAATTATATTAAAATAATGTAGAGAAAACTTGTGGGAAATAGAATGTTAACGCTCATTTGTCTAAAAGTACTAAATATGACAATGATCTTTTCAAACACAGAAAACCTATATCTATATGTTAAAGAAAATGATAAAAGTACCTGATGTTCTTTAATGTTAAACGAATTTTGGCCTTTATCTTCTAAAACTTTTTCAATTTTGTCCGTCTCTTGGTTATCGGTATCCGCCTTTATCAATTTATCTGTCTTTTCATTTAAACTTTCGGGTACCAACTTCTTTGTTTTATTATTTAATTTTTTTGCCATGTTAATTTGTACCTATTGATATAATTTTTAAATGTTAATGTTCACCCGCACTAAGTTTTGTATTATATTGACAAATCTATTATTGTGGCGTTTAATGGTCGCCAGGCAACTCGTTAAGTCGGTGGTTGTTACTGAAATCTTTGCTTAAAACTATTTTTACTAAAGATCAATTACTACCTCATAGGCATGTAAGTTCATTAACTATAAACGATTCTGAAAACATGAATGGTCGTATAGTGATAAAATTGAATTTCAGCCTGACATATATACATTTTTACTGTTATTTGATATCGGCTTTTGTCGAATACAAGAACAGCAAAAACAAAAGAACAGAAGACAAAATTCTATAAATTATATTAAAAACTTATATTTGAAAGACTTACATAAATCCTACAAAGAAAAGCAAATCTTTATACTTGTCTAATAAACGATTTGCAAAGAATTTATTGATTATCCTTTGTATTTGAAATAAGGATATTATAAACTCTGTGCATACTAACTGCCACCTAAATCCAAGTAGTAGATAGTTATATACTATAAAAAAATAATCAGTTATAGTTGACTTCAATTATAACTCGAAAATATTATAAAATATTTAACAATTATACATGTAATATTTTCAAACCTTGAAACAGATATTATAAAATAATGAATAATTAATAATATTTGTCTAATCATTACAGAAAATATCATCGTTTAAATATCTGCGTGAGTTGTTATTTTATATAGAGCTCAACATAAAAAAACATATCTTCACTTTATTTAACTTAGTTTGATGAAAACATTTGTACAGAGTGTTATCTTGTGACATTATTGTTGTAAAATATTTAGTGTTATTTTCTGCGCTCCCCTGAAAAACATTGAATTATGGATATGTTATAGCATTACGGTCCGTATAACCACCATGATTTTTTTTATTAAGTACAATTATAGGTATACGGAAAATTAAAAAAATATGTTATTGTATTTTGGCCACAAAAAATGTAAAAATGTACGTAACTTAAGCTTGACCGTTAGATCGCGCCACATGTACAAATTTTGCACCTTGTAAACTCCTCTACAAGCGTCTTTACCGATAACGTGGACTTGGCCGCTCTTCTGTTCTCCAGCAGGTTGGACTTAGCCTCCACCTGGATCAAACTCTTCAGAGCCGTCGCTTAGTCCGTTATGCCCTTGACAATCTGCTTACTGAAGTTCTTCTTCTGATTTAGGTTCGTCTTGGCTGACTCCATAAACCAGTCGAGTCCGCTGATTATCTTGCAATAAGTGTCGGTTCTCGTGGCCCTTGACTTCTCATTAACTACTGTTAAGTCCGTCGAAGAGGAGGAGGAAGAGTTCCGCTCATCGGTCTCATGCTTCCTCTTGGCAGCATTAGCTTCTTCCAAACATAGTTTCTTTCGAGACATTACACTGCTTTCGCTGTCCGCGATGGACATTTTAAAGTTTTTGTATATAAAACGGACCTCGGAACAAAATCTACTACTATTTGAGTAAAATAGTAGCTTTCGTCGATAAATCGGTCTTAGAGAGGTTCTAGGGCCTTAAAACACTAACAAAAGTAATAACCTTACCGCCTCTATCGATTCTCGGTGTTGGATTGCCCGAAAGACGTCTCGTTCTCCGAAATAACTGCCCTATTCGCGGTTGCTAAGTTGATAGCCGGCTGTCGGTGGCCGTTGCTATGCAAATCAACAATCTACTTTTGCTGGGAAAATTTCCCAAATTTGCCTTTTAAGGGCTCTAACCAGGCGGGGAGTGTAGCTAGAGAGACCGCGCGTTGTAATCGCTGAGTCACGCCCTATCTGCTGATACTTAAAGCGCCGGGATTCGATGTGTTATTCGTACAGAAAAAAAGACTTGTACTCACTTATACACAAAATACTTTTCTTTCTAATTTCGCCATATTCGGTGACTTCAAGGGCGTCAATAGCCCCGAAACGACCCGCCTAGCGCCTAAGCAGATGTTCTCGGCGTCCAAGAAGAGCTATAGGCGAATTTTCAGTCGATTTTCGGTTTACGGAGATATTCTGCCCAAAGTATAGCAACGAACTTGGTTTTCACAAAATGCGTCTTCCTCTGGAAAGTTCTTGATTTTCCGATTGACCACCAGCCCAGTAATAATGTTAAAATATTTAACAATGCATTACTTTATGGAAAACTCAACATTTTTTATGTAGATAAAACATTCTAAAAAATAATATATTCATACCTTCCTCAGTATCGTTTACAGTAAGACCGCACGACTCAAGAATGAGTACTTGTAGTGTAGTGTCGTACCGGTATTGATAACGGTGACTACATTTGGTCTTTTCGGAAGGGACACGGAAATGTATGAATACGGCTGTAGATACAAAAACGTATAAGGGTTTGTGTTGACGATAAATCCGGAATTTATCGTTTGGAAGCTACGCGATAAGGCGAGTCTCTTTGGATCGAAGCAATTACGGGTTCAAAGAATTAAACATGTTATTGTTATTCACCCTATGTCTCGTGTATAGCGCTGCTTTCTCTAAATTTCGAAAGGTCCGACCCACTGGAAACTAAAGGACTCTGGCCGGCCGGGTGGTGGTGGTGTGAAATTGACTTGCTAAAAGCGGGTGGGACGTTATCAAATTCGTATCAAAACCAAATTATACCGAACGCGGTGTGCAAAATAAAAAAATAGAAAGGGAAAAAGAAAGGAATAACAATTGTGTATAGAAACCGAAGGGGATTCTTCTCGTGGACGAGGGGCAAAATGATAAAGACAATTTGATTGAAGCCATGATATACCGTGGGTGAGTTGGCCTATAATATATTTACAGCTGTCACCACCGCCGCAAGTTGGATTTTTGGAAAAAACATTAAACATTTTGCTCTGAAAAAACGTTAAATAAGAGACTTGCATCTACAATATTATGCACCAGACGTCTTTAAATATTATCTAACGTCTTTTCCGTGTATTATTATTATACTATCTCTTGCAAATTTACGTTTATTTTACAATTACATAATATAAATAACGTGGTTAAATAACTTATACTAGGAGCCATCGGGATGCAATTCGTATATAAAATTTGGTTCTACCACCTAGCCTTGGGAACGGGATGCAACTAGTAGGTACTGTATGCACCTTTTATACTATTTCCGTTCAGTTCGGTTGCAACACAAAAACCATAAAGACATTGATTGGAGTTTGAAATACTATGAATAGTAGCTGTAGTTATACCATAGTATGTTCTATTTCATATTCATGTTTAGTATAGACGTATAACTTATTACTAATGTAGTTATTGTATATAATATAACCTTTTATCGCAGTCTATCCGATCGATATATTAGAATAATATAAATTATTGTATTATGTTTATTATTTCAATAATTGGGACAGCGGCGTATATATACATTAGGGTTTTTGGGGGTTGGGGGAGGATTTAAACTAGGTAAAACATGAGACTTTCTTAGAAAAATTAATTTTTGTTTACTATATTTGTTGATGACACTTTAGTTGGTTATTTATTTATTAAATGTAATTAATTAATTTTACACTTGATAAACTTAATAAATACTGTTTTATTTCAGCAGGTTTGATCTGATTTGACTTGCATAATAGGCATTATTGATGGAGGTAAAATAATAACGTTAGTCGTTACTTTAATATATATTATTATTTTGCTTTTTTTTAAAACGATAATCTTAACTAAATTCTGTTAAAAGTAATGATAATGGCTATTTTTGGTTTTGTGTGTAACAAAGCCTTTTTTCTATACTCTGTTTAAAATAAGATCGACCTCGGTGGCTACCTAAAACCGGGTTTTTACGTGGCTTTCAGATAGCCACCGAGGTCGATTCTTATTTTGAACAAACTATAGTAAATGCATGTTTCCATTAAGGTTTTACATTTTTTTTAATTAGGGCTTTTTAAAAAAAGGTCGTCTATAATTTTCTTCTTCTCATTCAAATTTAAGTATTTAAGTTATTTCCATAACTAATAGTAATTATTTTTTAATCTATATAATATTATTCATGATTATTGAATGAGCTTTACATTATATTATCGTCTATGTATTTAGATGACTTTATTATCATGTGATATTTTTTGATAAACATAATATATTGTTATTGTCGTTGTATTTACGTTTATTTTTGTACAATTTAAGATTTCATTTTTTTTAAATTAAATTAAGTTATGGGAATGTGTGGGTGGCAAATAATATAACAAAGTAGTTGTCACGCATCGTATTTATAAGTTTCACTTCAAATAAATATTATAAAAGGGGTGACAAGGAGCAATAAATTTAATTTATTTATTGTGTTTAATGATGTCACAATTAAAAACGACAGGGTGTGTCACGGAAGAAACTAGTTGTCATTTTATTAGAAAGAAATTAGAAAAAGCGCTTGTAACATTATTGCCACCAAATGCAGAGTCTTTTGGTGTTAGGTTTTGGTATTTTGGTTTTTAGTTGGGTCGTAATGTAAGAAGACACGACAGACGTGGTGTGGCAAATAATAGTGAGTGGAGTATAAATTCCTTTTTCTGGAATTTCCGTCAAGAGTCTTATATTATCATTTGACTTCTTGTGTGATCCACTCTATTTAGTTTAACACTCCAATGAGCTTGTAAAATTTAGCTTAGCCAACCGTATCGCTGTGTCCCCGACATCACACATTTTCTTTACTTGAGGAAACTGCGATAACGTCAAATTAAAAAACATATAAAAAACCCTGAGGCTAGGTGGCTAGAAAACCATCTGCTATTGTCGTATAAACTGTAAGGTATTACCCAATACGCACAATAAACACACATACAACTTAAAGTCTATTTTGTTAAGTACATTGAGTGTTACTCTAAAATTACGATTTGCAGTATAAACCACCTAAACTCGTAGGGAACCTGCACCTGTTGTAGGGTAGCCTGCACTTCTGACCTAGAGCTAAGCTTATACGTAACCAGCACGCCTAACTGTTAAGAAACGAGTTAGTAATTATTTATTGTTAGTTAAAACCTTAGGTAAGTCGGTGACTATTTGTGCTTGTAGCTTTATGGAGTTTAGTGACTATTTTCCATGTCGAAAACTTATTACAAGTAAACTCAATGACTATATCAAACAAAAATACCTTTTAAAATATACTTCACCAAAGGAAAAAGGTTACACTTTTAAAATGAAATAAAACCAAACTCATTGCTAAAATGACTAAAATGACAATAGTTAACATATGACGTAATAAAACAGATTAAACGAGATATACTCCCCTCGCTACAGCCGGCCGTGTACGGGTGAGTCTACAATACTCCGAGCCCAAGAGAGTGCGATCCGACATAACGATTTGTGCGGCTTTAAATAATAGAAATAAGTATAATTTTCGCTATATTAACCATTTTATCGTTTGCCATTTGTCCTAGATGTATATTTCTCGTTCCTACTACAACTGTTTTACTCATTATTTCTCCGACATTACTACGCAACGAATTTAATAAATAGTCAAATCTTTAAAAACCGGAAAGATCAAGTCATTCCAACTGAAATGCCTATTTTTCTTGTTTTCGAAAAAAATTAAATTTTTTAATAGTTTCCAACTACAAGCACAAGTCTATAAAGTATACTTTTGGAAACTGAGCCGGTTTAAGAGGAATTACGCGTTTAGTCAATTTCCCCTACGGTTTCCTCTTTTACAATATCACATTAAATTACCCTGGAGATTTTTAATACCCAGAGATCATACTCCTAACGATAATCAATGTCGATAATTCTAATTATTTTTTTTAATTTAACGTATTCACGCTTCCATGATATTTCTATTAAAATAGTATTAAATATTACAATTAGTTTATAATAACATTTAATATTAACTTTGAATATTTTTTTATAAAATAATAATTATTTTTAACTTTTATTAAACACTACAACACATTTTATTTTTTCAACTCACTGTCGTGTCATATAATTTTTTTATGTAAAAAACTTTTGTCACATTGTTGATTTTTAGCCAAGTTATCTGTTGTTTATTCAGCTATGTAATGTACAAACTGTACCTTCGTAATATTGACACATTGTTGTTATTCAACATTTTGTTAAATCTTTCGGAAATCCAATTTGCCAAACTTTTATGGTTTTTTGCAGATAACGTCATACAGTACAATGTTTCGTGACTATTTGTATATATTGTTTTCATAAATACATGTAACTCCTTATTCATAAAATGTTTTTTAGTAGTTTACAATTAATACTCTATATAGATGTATCAATACACACAATCAACTGGTCGTTATTCTTGTACCATTAACCTTAGGGGTAAAAAAAAAAAAATTGTTAGTTATAAAGGTATAGGTACTATTTGTAAAGTATACATAAAATAAAAATAAATTTTACATTGTAGTGATATTATAAATGGCATTGTTACATAATACACACGACAAAACAATTAAAATTAAAAAAAAAAACATAAATTATTTAATATAGTATTTGTCAAAATTAACTTCACAGGTTTAAATTTGATTTTGTATTAATTCGAAAAATACCTTATACTATTTAATTTCATTGAGTTAATAGTCATTGCAACTTATATAAATAACATATATGATGATGTGTTAATAATGCATTGATTGTATTTTATATGCTATACACACACAAAATAGTATGAATGTACTTAGTGAAATAACATGTTTATTGTTGGAGGTTTGTCGATCGTTGATTCGGTAAAGTTTCAAGTATTTTCTGGACGGTGACAGGCCGTGTAACAACAATAATACGGCGATCAAAGTTTATCGGATTTTCCAAAGGTCTTGAGAGCCTGTGAAAAATAACTGAGTGAGGGCGAATAGAAAAAGTAAAAACAAGTCGCCGACAGAATTTTAAACGTCCGGGGAAAAAAGGAATAGGTGTACGAACGAGTGAGAAGTAAAAACACAAACGCCTTCAGTATAATAATCTCTTGTTTAACTTCTTTTCGCTACACTTCTATAATATATATTGTGTAAGTTAGGGTGATGGAGCACCGACTTATTGCCGGTTGGTGAAGTTTCGGCACGCGCAGACATTATACGGGAAAACGGCCGGAAAATTTTGATTCATCGTCTTCGATGGCCCAAAGTTTTACTGCAGCAGTGCCGCTTAAGAAGAATATAAATTTGACGTTTAATGGTTCGAAAACAAATAGCGTAACAAAAGCAGCACAGCCACCACCGCACGATCTCTCGCGGTCGCGTCGGGGATGGGAAGCTGCAGTTTTGTGGAAAAATAAAGTAGTTAAAACTGAAAAAAAGAACGTTTTTTTTTTTTAATTTCCGGGGATATTTTCTATATTTTACACCTATATCTGACATTCTTACTCACAAATTGAATTATTTTTTTAGATACATATACATAAAGGGAAAGTAGAGTCAAAGAAGAACAAATTTAAGAGTTATGTCCTCAAAAAAAAAAACTGTTGTTTGATATAAAATGTTACTTGTTGTAAGTGAACGTAAAACAATCATCACTAATAGTATCATAGAGTAAACATATTATAGCATAATAGGCTTACAGTTTTTTTCACTTCAATGTTGCCGTGAAAAACCTCCTATGTGCCAATTTTACGATTTTGAGGTTTTGGTATCCTTGGATACGGAAAAAAATAAGCAATCATGTGATAAAATATCCAACGTACCATCTCTGTTGTAGAATAAATGAAAAATAAAAAATAAAACCTGTATTATGTTACTATAAATTGTTTTACATGTTTTAGTGTCTCCTGAACAATTAGGTTTTAGCAAATGGGAATTAGGTTTTTTCACGGCAACGACGATATTTTAAATTTAATAACTGTTTACACAAATTATTATTTTCAAATTTCTTGGGTAAATCATTTTTGTATCTTGTTAGAAAATGTTGTTTCTGGGTATTTTAACTTCGATGCGGATGTATTATACAATATTGTGTTATTTTACAATGATGTGTTTTTTTTTTGTCTGTATCTTTCAAACCGCAGAACCGATTTCTTCGTGTAGCGACTCTATAGATCAAATTACGAAAGGATAAATTAGTGACACATTGTTACCTAAAACTTAACATTTTATTTTGAAACTATTTGTTTAATTTAATTAATTTTTTAACTCTGTATTTATTTATAGTTGTGTTATATTGTATTTGCATTCTTTACGGTCATACGAAAATAAAAATAAATAGATCAAATGTCGTACCTGAAAGGTACTTTATTGAACCGACTTTTAAAGGACACCTTCACCTTCAAAATAAAAAAAACCATTTTTGTGATTACTATGTAATTTAATATTTGATTTAAATTAGTTGGCTTTTTAGACCGCAATCCTGAAAAGTACCGTGGCAGTCGTGTTAAGCACACAATTGACATCAGTGATTAGGTAAATGATTTTATCAATATTTGTATTTTTAAACTGTAAACACTGGACTTTCCTTACGTACTCACTTACTACTACTACTGCTACTGCTACTACTACCTACTGAATAATTTCCATACGTACAAAATCTTCGAAAGATTTTTGTAAAAACGGCTAGTACTAGCCGTATATATAAATTAGGCTATATAGGTAACATGTAATTAGACCAAACAGGTATAGTTTTAATGTAAAGGGAGTCTACCCTTTTCTTGTTTGGCGGAAAAGTGAATCGACCGGTCATACACGTTTTAGTGTGGAAGACGCAAGTAGTATATTAAAATGTTTGTTTTTATATTTTCGTGACGTTCTGTTTCAGTCATTGGAATTCCTTTGCTGATCAAAATATCATTAATATCTTTTAGAGGATCTTTCTTTAACATATAAATTTAACAAATAGTAATCGTAGACAAGATTGACTTTTAATTTAATTTTTAGATTCTAAAAATTCATAATTTAGCTAGTTTTAGTCTGTTAATAACCGAGTAATAACCTATACATTTACAAATATTTTTAAATTTTTACACAGTAAAACTGACAAAATATACTAAGATATACCTAGGTAGTTTTAATCTGTAAAAATGATATATATATATATATATATATAACCATCATAGCAATAGCAATGAATACTTACAGTTTTATATTCGAACACTGTAAAAAAAAAAACAAATAAGTGATCCAAAAGTATTGTTACTATTATTGTATTTTTAATAAAAAAACAAATACAAAAACACATTTTTTCACTTTAGCAGGTTAAAGCGTGCGTCAACAAATGTGTTTTAGTTGTACTTATTTTTTTGTGCGCTTATGAAACAGAATCTATTCTGCATTTCAAAGTAAAAACTAAATGCGATTTATGAATTCATAAAATGTTATCTATTTAAAATCAAAAAATGAATACTTTATCGATCTGCTTGATTTTAAGTTTAGTTTATTACATAAGGTTTGCAACATTATTTCCAATCAATAACAAGGTAATAAGTTACATATTTTTTTTATAATACAAACATATTTCTACTACTTATGTATAACTATCAATTAATTATGTAATTGGATTTTTTTGTTTTAGGATACAACCTTAACAGAGGCAAGATATGATTTATTTATACGAACATTTACGAGACAAAAAGCTGACAAAAACGGCTTAATAACCCCGCAACAATTCAAAACAGTTTTAGATTCTCAAGATGAATATTGGGATACGCAACCATTTAAAACATTTATTAATAGACGTGAGATAAAATAAATATGAAAATATTGAGCTTGTGTGATTAATAAACATTTTTTTTAATTAGATAGCTTTCCGCTTACACTAAATGAGTTTTGCCTGTTAATGATTTCCTATGTTAATACACAGGTACGTAATAAACATATCACAATACATTCTCTACGCCTTATTCCGTTTAAAAACAGGCTTAGTAAATAAAAAAAATTATTTTAGCACTATAAAGTTGTGTTGGCCTAAGTTAAGTAAACCGACAATAATACCTAATATTGTTATTATTTACTTGGAGAGATATTTTACAAGGATATAGAATTCGAAAAAAACTAAAACTAACATTTGTGTATGCTAAAAAATTTAAGGTTGTTAATATTTTGATTTAAACATTATGAAAATTATTGTTATGTTTCGACGGCAGTTGATGTTTATAGAGTATGGAATTTCGGCTATAAAATGCGATTCCAATAAAGTGTGGTTAGAGAGTTAAGTCGGACTCTTTGTAGCGACAGTGGTGGGAATTATGTACAATGTACATTGCAAAAAACATTCAGTTTGCGAGTGGTAAATAAGAAAAGAAAATGTAATTGCACATTGACAAGCGAGATTAATATAATAGTGGTATTTAGGTAGGCCAAAGAAAAAGTGGATGCCGATTGTAAATTATGACCTGAATATAATATGAGGTAATAAGTTGCGATGGACAAAAATATTTGGTAGAAGAAAATTTAAATGGCCGACTCCATTTCGACGCCCCGTACGAAAAGTTGCACCGTTCAAGTTCTAGCAAAAACTAACACCGTTCGAGGATTCTTACGAAATCAAGCACCGTTCGCAAATTTCTTACGACAACTGGCACCGTTTGCAACAATGGAAACAATAGCCCAACGGTGCTAGTCTTCGTAAGAACTTGAACGGTGCTACTTTTTGTAAGCATCTGTGAACGGTGCTACTTTTCGTAAGGGGCGTCGATTTAAATGGGATAAGAGGAGAGGAATAGAAAAGACGAATACGTTTGGGAATCGTTTTCACTAGAAATGTGCTTACAATAACTACTCTTTATTTGTGCTAGGAGTCTACACTATCTGACGCAAGATTTCATAACCACGAGCTTATAAGACAGGCCTCAGTTAATAGTGAAATGGCAGGGATACAGATTCAAACCGATGTTCCAGCTTCATCAATTGACTCAATAGCACAATGTCAACTAAATAAAAATAATGAGGTGAATATTTTTTCATAATAACATACGATGGTAATTTTTGAGTCCTAAAAGTACTTTATTTTTAGGATCAAAAAATATTATTCTAAATGTGTGCTATGTCTAAAGTGTATACAATTTTTAAATGTACATGATGTTTAGTTTACATAGTATTTTAAGTAGTAAAATATATTATATTACATGTAAAATATTTAAAATGTTTAATTCATTTATGTCAGGATTTTGCATTATCAAACGAATGGCCGAATATATATCCCCAAGAACATGCAGTACAAGAGCCATATGGTATTGAAAAAATAACCGAGCACCTTCAAGCAGTTAACTCTACTGAACAATTTCAAACTACACAGAGTAATGAGGTAAACTATTTCGATTTTAACACACATATTATACGCACATACCATTCACAAATTGTAAAATATTTGATTTATTTTTGTGTAATTTGTGTCAGAATCTTGCGTTACCTGAAGCGCAGATGACCGATTTTTATGATCATGAGTATAATGTACAGAATCGAATTAATGAATATAAAATGACCGAAGAGCAGCTTCAAGTGACTGCCTCCATTGAAGAATTTCGACAACTTCAGAATGTCGAGGTAATATATTAAGATTTTAGCCAGTTTAGAATTTGTTTAATTTGCAGCGTGCCTGTAAGTTGTACAATATTGATATTATTATTTGATTACTTTTTGTTAGAATCCTGCATTGCCAGACGAATGGATGAATTTACGTGACCAAGAATATTCAATACAAGAGCTATATGAAGAAAATAAAATTATAGCGGAACAGCTTCAAATGTTCAACTCTGTGGAACAACCTCAACCAATTGAGGATTATAACGTATTTTATTTCGTTTTAAACTATACACCGTTCGTGGCTGAATGCGTCCGGCGACTGGCCAAATCTCGTCCGTTCTCGTGCAATCCACAAAGAAAACATGCTTGAGCGCTTCTAAACAAAACACATCGCGCGGTATCGATGCACTGTCGGATTGCCTCGGTTTTTGGTGACAGTTGTTCCGGCATAGGTGCAACTAGAGCTCAAATATTTGGGTGTGCTGGAATTATGTTATCCTCACAGACCCGCGGGGGCTGCGCCTCCACACCCCCCCCCCCCAATAACCTTTCCTCTTTTCTTCAGTAATTATAATAAGTAATAACCATTATTTTATGCACAGCAAAACCATACACATCACTATTTTAAATCAATTGAACCAGAATTCAGATTTCAAAACACATACGAGTAAAATATTTATCTAAGTCAACAGTTAGTTACATTATTAATTATTATATCAACGTGGTTTTTATTTTGTTATTAGAATACTTATTTAATTTAGTAATTTTGTCGACAATATTTCTTTCAATATTTAATATAGACGGGTTAGTGAAACGTTGTTGCTGTATATTACCTCTAAGCCAATTCTTTAAATGACGCATTGAAGAAAAGCTACGTTCGCACGTAGCAGAGCTTATAGGTATTGTAAGAGTGACTTGTAATATTTATAGACATTTGGAAAAGTCTGCTCTTTACAATAATTTACTTTAAACAAATTCAAAGAAATATTCATTACTAAAAGTTCCTTTACTTTTTATGTATAGAAATTACGTGAATTGTGTTATAAACTTTGTGATATACCTTATAATGGTTTATGAAATATTGGCTTTTTGTAAAGTCAAATTTTATCAGTCTAATAATTAATATCTATGACTTAAGAAAAAATAAAAATTACATATCGTTCTTACTATTTGTTTATTGTTTTCACTAATATCACGATTTAAAGAAGGTCTTCTCTTTTTCGAATAATGTTACGTGTTTTATTTTAATCACCCCCTAGTTGCGCCTATGGCTGTAGGGTTCTCTACGGGAGGGGGTGAATTTGGCCTCTCTGATAACGGAGCTTCATAATTTGGATTCGCAAGCAGGACGCATTGTCTCCGTGAACGGAGTATAAATATGGTATTTTAATTTTTGTTTGCAAAATGTTCTTTCCAGTACGAGTAGACCTAGGACAATATTAAATTTGATATTTTATTACTTTATATGTCAGGATGCTGCATTACCAGATGAATGGATGAATTTATTCGATCAAGATTATGCAATGCAAACGCCACATGAAGATAATGAAAAAACAACCGAGCAACTTCAAGATATTGACTCTACGGATCAATTAAAAATAATTCAGGGCACTATGGTAAAATATTCTAATTTTGAAAATGTATTTTTTTTATCGTTCTCCTAAATTATACAATATTCGTTTTGTAATTTGTTAAATGTGTGTTAGGAAGAGAATCCTACATTATCAGATACAGGGATAAATTTTAATTACCAAGAGTACAATAAACAGGATCTAGGCGATAATACTAAAATATCAACAGAACAGGGTCAAGCAGTTTTTAACTCTTTAGAACAGTTTGAAACATTTCAGAACAATGAAGTAATGTTTTCTTGGTTATAATTGGATAAATTATACAATATTCGTTTTGTAATTTGTTAAATGTGTGTTAGGAAGAGAATCCTACATTATCAGATACAGGGATAAATTTTAATTACCAAGAGTACAATAAACAGGATCTAGGCGATAATACTAAAATATCAACAGAACAGGGTCAAGCAGTTTTTAACTCTTTGGAACAGTTTGAAACATTTCAGAACAATGAAGTAATGTTTTCTTGGTTATAATTGGATAAATTATACAATATTCGTTTTGTAATTTGTTAAATGTGTGTTAGGAAGAGAATCCTACATTATCAGATACAGGGATACATTTTTATTACCAAGAGTACAATAAACAGGATCTAGGCGGTAATACTAAAATATCAACGGAACAGAGTCAAGCAGTTTTTAACTCTTTGGAACAATTTGAAACATTTCAGAACAATGAAGTAATGTTTTCTTGGTTATAATTAGATAAGCCGGATTATCCATTTATTTGGATTTATATATAAATATTCTTTAAACATAGTACTGTCAATAAACATTAACAAACCAAAACAAACACCATAAACTATTTCCCCTAGAACTTGGAAGGGCTAGACATTTTTTATTTATTTTAATATCTACACCCAAGGTAGATCTTGAAATTAACTATAATATATGCAATTTTCTCAATCTGTGAACACGGGACCTTCCTTACTTACTACTACTTACTTACGTATATAATACTTTCTTATGGTGCTTGGTTAGGATTGTACTGGTTTTAAACCTACTATCTACAGATTCCCATCGAAGCGTTTATTTAAAAGAAATTTTATCACTTTCTGTTATAATAATTCCTGTAGACTTGTGACCTCCCCGTCCTACTATGTTTCAACCCTACTGTACTGGCTTTTTTATTTTATGTATTAGAAAAATGTATAAAAATATAAATTATTAGAAGAAAAAGGGTATTTAAAAATAAAAAGTTAGAGTTAGAGTGGCGTCACTTCAAAATTTTGGACCGCGTACAAGAATATCCACTGGTTCTCTCACTATAACAAAAACTATGAAACACTTATTGAGTTAGGGTTAGTGGAGATAAACAATAAAAAAAACAATAAATTCGATAGTTAAAATAAGTAGGTATTTAATGTTAAACATCACTTTTATAATTGATGTGATGATGTTTGTTTTTAGTTCACACACAGTGGTCTAAATAATACATAAATAATTAATGCCAAAGCGCAAAACAATTAAAAATCTTAAAAAGTTATACTAATACTTCATATATATATATATATAGTAATATAAAAAAAATTAATTTTTAATTTTAACAAGCTTCGCTCTGCATTAGTTACTATAACAGGTACCTATTAATAAAAAAAGAAAGCAAGGCGTAGGCACACATCAGAAAATTTAGCCGCTATTAAATAGTTGTCAATAATAATGAATTTTGATCGGCAAAAGAACATTTAAGCTGAACTATCTGGCAAACAAAGTATTAATAAATTCATCATTATAACGATTCTGGATATACTAAAGTAGTAACTGCACCACTAATATCACTTTATTCAATACATTTTGCGTGGTGTTTAATGATTTAAAAATATAATTTAGTTCATACCAACAAAACGTTTTTTTAATGGTTGGGTAATTATATTGTCTAGGGTATGAAAATATAAATATATTTAATACAATATATTTGCGTTTTAAAATACTTTAAAAAGGCAAATATTACAGAGGCATATTCCCGTCCATTACAACTTAATTCATTAAAATGTTAAGGAGTATTTGTTTTCGTATTTTAGAAAAATGTCAGTTAGCTTCTATACTCTTTGATAATACTTTAGATTCTTCATATAGCTACTGCTTCAAAATAATCTCGCATTTCTTGAATTTTGTTGGCGGCTGTTCGAAGTAGTTAAACATTTTTTATTAAGTCTATATCCAGTTTTGTTATTTGTTCGTCTTTATATATAGGCCCATCAGAGAAATTAATTATAAAAGTTTTAAAATATCGATGTACTTTTAAGTTAATAATATTAAAAATATAACAAGAAGAAAGGTTTAAAAAAAATAAAAACAAGTACATACTTTTCAGGTCCTCTTTACAACTGCACCCTCTGAACTCTCTTAGTTACGCTACTGAGTTAAAGGACCTTTATGGTTAGGATGGTACAACAATTATTTCATACTACGTGATTTTTTTAATTTGTGTTAAGGTTCCTTTTGAAGGCGAGTTGTTCAAAGAGGTCGATGCAAACCAAGTGATCAGTCCCAAAGGTAAAAATATAACTAATGGTTATGCTTATATTTATAATTACATCTCAATCAATTACAACAAAAGATAAGGGTGTATACTGGCCAGACTGTGGCTTACTAAAAACCAAAAATAATTGTAAATCTTCATATTAGATACATCATTTAGTGAACACGATGTTTCGTTGTTGCCCTCAGAAAAACCTACCCGAAAAAGACGTTTGGCTGAAGTGCATATGCCCAAACAACCAGGTAACATAAATTCTGTCTAAACTTTTAAAGAAGGCAATAAAAATGTAGCAAGCACTAAGGATATGCTCCTAAGCCGTGGCATAATAATACGATAAAAAATACATTTTACACCATGTTTCTATTTTAAACTAGACTAAAAACTGACTAATAAAAAAATAATATAAAATGTTTGAATAATTAAGAAAATAGTTTTAATATTAGTATAACAAACTTCATAATAACATTCTTGATAATATTAGTTTTCTCTGATATTATACTATTTTTTATTTATTATGCACAATTTTTTTTTCACAATTAATTAGTGGATAATATTTATTTTGTTTGAGAGTTTTGTACGTTTACTACCACAAGCTTAGAATGTGTGAGTTTAACGACTTTGAAATTGTTGTATTTTCAGAAGATTCCGTTGATGAGCATGGCAATCCGGTGGTGCCTGCGAAAAAACCTCGCAGAAAATCTTTATCAAAAATAATTGTGACTGATACAAGTATACGTAAAATTATTTTTTCCTTAAAAAATAAATTTAGAGTTTTTGCTGTCCGGGGCTAGTAATCTTTTTTCGAAAGCTAAATCACAAATCTCAAATTAAACTACTCATTTGTATTTTTGTTGCGTTAGTTAATAAACTTTTAAGGAACCTCTACTCTAGCATTTATTAAGCGCCATTGTATAGACCACTTTTCAATAAAAATCAACATAAAGTAAAGATTTGTAATCTCTTGTATCTATTTTGATAAAGTTTTTTTTTTTTTAACTTGAGTTGCTCGCGGGGGGCAACTCTTTTCTAAAAGTAAATAGTTATTATAGCTTGTCTCTGGCGACGGACTAACTACCCATTCTGGATAACGAATTCGTCTAGTAACTATCTCACGATGGCAGTTTTGGGCCTTCATGGCCTGTTAAGCTCGCATAATGATGATGCTGAATTATTTTAGCTTTATATGAATATTTTGAGTAATATAGCATGATTTTTGAAAAGGTAGTTAATGATTACGATTTCAAAAAGATTTTACTAAAATAGGTTTTTTTTTCAGATACTCCTGTTAGTGAACCAAGTATTTCAGGATCGCCTGCAACAAAACCTCGCAAAAGAAGTAGAAAATGTTCGCCAAAAGTTGATGTATCTGCATCAAGTACGGGTGAATACTCAACCGGGACTCAGGCCGAACTATCAGTTAATAATAAATCATCTAGTAAAACTTCTTCAGAACATGTAATACAATCACATTTGTTCAATGAACAAGAAGGAAAAAGTAATTTAAAACTCGCAAACAGCGGGGCTCAACTTTTTCAACGGTATTTAATTCTAATGGCATCAAAAAAAAATAGTGATGCACAGAATGTTCCCTCAGCTGACATACATCCGTTCGTAACTACATCATTACCTTCGTCTGATTTAATTTTTAATACCTACCCTCGGCAGCCAGAAGGCTAACTAACATTGAAGACAATGTTATTCACATAGAATGTACGAGCTATGCAAATTAAAATTTTTAATATTTGTAATAATTTGATTCTGTTAACAAAATGATAAATCTACTATCTTTTCATTTTTAACTTATATACTTCTACGATTATGAGAAATACATATTATATTCTAATTTAAGATTTAGCTTCGATGTTTAAAACGAATTAATTCCTTCCATTACTATTTACTGTTTAATCCGTTAATATGTTATGTCTTATATAACACGATGGTCATTATTTTGGGTTTGGTTAAATTTTAATTGGGGAGCTTCCAAAATTGGTTTAAAATGGATAAAAAAAAAGGTCGCTTAAGTTTTAGATCCTAACATTTTTTTAAGGACTTCTCGTGGCACTGCACTTATCCAATACAAATTGGTACCATACGAATTTGCTTATAAAGTACAGAGCACTAATAAATTATTCGGTTATAAAACGTGTAAGCGGTGTTTTTATTATGACGGCTACTGCCGATGTCCCCCGAGTTTCGTAATCTTTGTTTTTTTGTTACCTATTTGATAAGTTGACACTGATAATAATATTTATAGTCTTTCAAAACAGTAACTTTAAATTGGCCTACGACTTTCAAAATTAAAATTGATAGTTTATGGCATTCATATAGGTAAAGATTAATATCTTAAATGCATTAAGAACGGTACCAGGATAAGGTATACTTTAAGAATTTGCCACGGGTAATATCAAGTTGCGTTGCATTACGCGCGACGTTTAAACTTCCAAACCAAGTACGAAAACCAAAATTATTTGCAGATTCGTAAGCAGCATTCGAAATTGAAGAAAAGGTACCCGGTAAAGTAGATTTCTTACATTTTGAGTGTCATTTAATATAAGAATTTTACAGAAAATATAGACTAATTTATTGGTTTTGCCCCATTATTTTATAAAAAAAATTGAAAATCCCAAAAAATTGAAAAATAGAAAATTTTTTTTTTAACTCCCTTTGTATAAATAAAGTATAAACGCGTTATTAAAATCTACTAGGTGTGTAATTCGGTTTTCCGAATCATTTCGCATCCGTTTTAAAAATTCACTAACACCTACCCTTCTGTCTTGGAAAATTGCACTAGAACGACAGTTGATTTACCGCCTTTGTCCTGATACAGTTTCCAGTCCGTTAGTTTTCTCGTGAGACCTTTTACATTTCTAACGCCATCACACTGTATGGGAACTTGGAGATTTAATTCCGCTGGAATTTCGCTTTGCTTCTTATATGACCGTTAATTGCGGCTGTTTTATCTATACTAATTCTATCTCTCTCTCTGATTTTATCTTTCATTAATATAATTTAATTAAAACGTTCTGACAGTAATATCTGTTATCTTAAAGGGACGGTGCCAAAAACAGTATTCGTCTACAGCCCTTTCTAAGCTATTACTTTTATGCTAATAGAGCAATATAATATATCTCCTGTATTAGTATTTTTTCCTGAAAATTCAGATTTTCTAATTCCATTTAGACAATACATTAACAGACGGTCAAATACAGTTTTAACGATTTTGACAAAACATCCAAAATTTAAATCTAAAATCACGTTAAGTTTGATACACATGTTTTTGATTCAATAATTAAATTGAACCTGTATTAATGATTACTATTCTATTAAATGAATGTTTTTATAATCAAAATTATTTATTATTATTCTTCATGCATTTTTTTTTAACATTATATTATTACCGAGGTAGGTTGACATTTTTCATAATAATGGTTTAAAGTATCAATAAATCTATAACAACAAAACTACTGAAAACATAATATTTTGAAATTAATTATGTATTATTTTTTAAGAGTCGAGTAATGTTGGTAATATAAAATATTGTTTCTAGAATTAAAATACTTTAATGCTCATATTATAATAATAATATATAGTGTTAATGTTCATAATAATTTTGTAAAAAAAAAACAATAAAGACAAACATTAGATCTATAAATCTGAGCGCACGGCAGTACGCCGGCCAAGTTCCAGCAATGCCAGTGTATCTTTACGCGAACCAATTCACCCGGTATTTCTAACTCTCATATCTCTGCTACTTCTTAAGATGGGCTTTTAAAATTTGAAACCTAAATTAAGCTTAAATAGTTTAGGACACTGTGTAAAATTGAGGTCTTAATATTTAGCTGTTTTAAAATGGGAGGATTTCAAAATTTGCATTTTTGTTACTGACTCACTGATTCACTCATCATCAAAATTATAATACACTTCCCGTATAGGTAGAAACGTGAAATTTGGCACAAAAGCGGGTCTTATAGTGTAAGTAAAGGGTAAAATCTGAAAATTGCAATTTTCTTAAAATTAGTGCGCTAGGTGGGGATTAATGACCTTAGCCGCGCTACAGCCGGTAAAGGGCGCTGTTGATGCCCACGTCTCTAGTCAGCCATCATTTGGTCGTAGTTTGTGTCTTTGTTAATTCGTGTTCACATGTATAGCAGTGTAGCAGTGTTCTTTGTTCTTGTTACGTTTGTCACGTGGTTTATAAAAAGTGTAATTGAACACCTAAACGTTTAGGTTTCGTTTATACGTTTATTATACTAAACTAGATTTATAGTGGCTACTTGTATAAATTCTAGCTTCACTAATTTATTAATTGAAATAACATTAATTGAATAAAACAGCAGTGTTGCTCATGAAAGTAGGAGTGAAGTTTGGTTATGAACTAAAGAAATAGCAGACTTGGCCACAATGTAGATATCACTACTTTGATAGGCTGATATTTTTGGGAGAGATTCTGGGATTTGGCCTTTATTCACTGTTAGGTTTTTGTTGGGTATACTATTTATATAATCTGTATATTTTAGTTTTTTGAAACTTAATTTTTTTATTGACAGGGTACACTGTTTAAAAACCAACTTTGTTGATAGCCAATTTTCTATAAGCTTTATTTTTTTAACTTCTTACTATATTCGTTTTTATTACATCACTAATACCAAAATTGTTTTCTACGTTTAATGAGTTTTCTATAACAGCATTATATATATTTCTTGATAGTGTTTCGCAAAACAAAATTAACTTTGAAAAAACAAAAAATATATATTTTGCAAATGGAACATGTTTTAGGTAATTTTAATATTTTGCACATTTTATATTGCATTTTAAAATTGTTTTCAGTTGCAATTATTTTTAGATATTTTCTGATTTTTAACCAAAAATACGTTTTTTTTTTGTTTCATTTCATTCTATAAGCCACCACTCCTTGAGGTAAAAAAAAATAAGTGTACTTATACGTGCATACCATAAGAAAAATATTTTAATTTGTGGAATAGTTTCGTTTAAGTGTGTTTAGACATTTTTTTCCTTGTAAGCAAAACTCCATAAGTTTTAGTTTTATAACGATCGACGATTAATTAACGGGCTGTACTTGCTAGTTTGAACGAAGAAACATGTCCATAAAACATTAAATAAGACATTTAAAATGCTTCATTCTAGATTCGGCGGGTACCAAAAAATGTGTGGTTAAATGTTGCAGGGATAGAGTGCGCTACAAAACGAGCTCGTGGGTTATTTGCTCTCGATGGAGTTAGCTGTTTACCTTCTTTTATTATCAAAATATAATAGATATAGTATACCAAATAAAGATTTTTAATCAATAAATTTAATTAATGAAAACATCGCTCAAGCGAAAAACAACATTTTAAAGGTCCAAAAGTATCAATAATAATAAAATAAACAAATCCAATAACTTCTTAGCTCCGTGTCGAATCTAAAAACACATATTTAGTTATTATTATTGTTCATTGTGAATTTAATAGTTTCTGAGCTCCTTGTCGAAATAAAAAAGCATTTGAATGTGTTATCTAAACCGATTACTTTTCAGCCCATGAAAATAAAATAATAATAATACTGTTACACATCTCCAAGTTCTGACAAGGTGGACTTATTTAGATTCGTGAGAATTTTGAAGAGGAAAACTATGCACTAGTTAGAAAAATTACACTGCATAGTTGCCTATACTATGTATCATGTTAATCAGAAAAATTAAAAAACATATAGCTGTTATCGCTTAATTATGTTATGTTATGTGTACAAATATTTTAATCCTAAGAGGTCCGTTGTATAGATCAAGACCTTAGTAAAAAAACATTTTTAAAAATTAATATTTATAAAATATTAATTTAAAATTTTAATTTAGCTTAAGGAATTTTTTAAGCCTTCTGAAAAAAAACCAAAATTTGAAATTGGGCCCTTGTAATAATAGGCATCTCATTTATTTTGTATACTTTATGTCATTAGCTTAACAAATGTATATATCAAATCGTTTTTTACAAGGTTTAGTTGGAATTTTTACATAATTCAATAAAAATATACTATTATTTATATATTTCAAATGATATTTACACATAAATAGCAATTTCTTCAAACCTAAATAAACATATTAATCTTAATCAAACACAACTAAACTTAAAATCAGAAATTTAATTCTTGGAAGTGGGACTAGAGACTATATTGATTTAAAATTGTTTTTAATCTATTCAAAATATTTAAATATCAAATCATCTTTTTTACAGGTTAGTTGAAATTTTGTTTATTTTTAATAAAAAATGTACTATGCAACAAAATGTTTGTATAATATATAATCATAAATAGTAAATTACAATTTTGAGGCGTACTCTACGCTGTCCAGCGCGTGACATCACAATTCCCACTAAGAGAAATAAATTCAATAATTTTAACTACCTTACGGTATTCATTTTATTTACATTATAGTTATTAGTTTTTGAGCTATAATGTGAAACTGTACCTTCCGATTTAGTTTCATAGTTTTTCTTGCTATGTATATGCTACGTATTCATGTCAAAAGTAATATTACTATTGCAGAAAACAGCAATAGTAATAATGAAGTATAGAAACAACAAACGCCAGATTCAAGGTATACTATGAGTTTGTTATTGTGCGGTACGTACTAAATGTCTTGATTTAATTTTATTGGTAAAACTTTAAGCTCAACTAACTTGAAATCCACTGTGGACCTTAGTTTGAATGGCCTTTGTGTAT